GTTTTCATGATTGTAAATGTTGGTTTTTTAGTTGTTTTTGGTTTCTGTTGTTAATTGCTGGAAATCTGTTGTGGGATTATAGCAGTAGTATACAAAATGACTAAATAAAAATAATACCTTCTACTTTCTAAAAATGGTGCCTATCCCTATTAGTTAATTTTTCTGAGGATAGGCATGGACCAACCAATATTGGCTGAAAGAAATCCTGCAGGCACTTTTCGGCCCATTGTTACAGGATGAATTTCAGGTAGGGTTGCGGAACTGAGAGCCGGTAAATTATATGCAGCGACAAGCCTTCAAAGCACACCAGTTCACATCACTGAAATACAACGGCAGAACTCAACAACTTGGTTTGCACTGAATGAAACCTCCTTCAAGTCAAGCCTAAAGCTGATGACTTCCTGAACATATCTATATAGTTTCCTTGGCAGAAATACTGAAGTGGTATGACATTGCCTTCCTTTCTTCCAGGATTTTTTTTTTTTTTTACTTTCTATTCTAGCCAACAGATCTAGGATCCCCTGGTGGTCTCCCATCCAAGCACTAAGCAAGCCTGACCCTGCTTAGCTTCCAATCCCAGTTTGCATTGTTCATGTGCTTCCACCTGCTGAGAAGGACACAAATTAGGTCTTGTAGTTCTTCCATGAGACATCAAGCATACATTTTCAACTGCCCTCTAGTGATGTTGCGGCATCACTGGACATGTCCCTCTCAAAAGCTGACATACCAATGAATGCATGAAATGCCCTGTGCCCAAATCATTGCCCACTCATGGTGCAATGTTGGCTGGAAGAAGGAAAATGGTTGGAAGGAGATGGAAGGATCAGCCTTGTGGATGCCTTCCCTGAACGTACGGCTTTCAAACCAGGCGGTGGTTAGAAGAAAGTGCAAGAGCAGAGCTAAATTAGCCCTCAAAGTCCATCTCAAAATTCTGCATGATTTGCTACACAGTTTTCAGTTGCTTTAGTTCTACCTTGACTGAACCTTTTTATGCACTTATTCATTTTGGTGCCTTCAAGTCAGTCTTGACCCTGGACAACTACAGGACAGGTCCCTGCAGTTTTCTAGGCAGGATTTTCAGAAGCGGACTGCCCTTGATTTCTTCCTAGGGTCACCCACTGGCTTTGTGTCGAAAGCAGGACCAGAACTCACAGCCTCCCACTTTCTAGCCTGGTGCCTTTAATCACCTGGCTCTCTTGACTGAACATTACTGATGCACCTATGGTGCTTTAGCAAAGGGCAAAGAAATCAAGGGTCCATCTTTCAAAGACAAGGTCTTTTTCTTCTGCAGGAAATCAAATTACAGTCGCGTCAAATTTGCTTTTGTCTCAAGGGGAGGAGCAGCGTTTATCTTATTTTAATGTATTGTATGTACATCAGTAGCATAGAAGGGGAAAGATACAAATGAACGAAATTAGCAGAGAGTTGCAGAATCCAAATAGGAGACTGCTGTCTTTAAACCAGAAAGAAAGAAGAGTGGAAGAGAGGGCTGCTAATTCTCCAGGTTCTCCCTGTTCAGATGATCAGGTTTCTGATTTATTCCATTCATTACTGAATAAAACAATGAGTGCAGTTTTAGGTATTTGTGGGAAAAGTTGTGTCTCATTTTCTTCCACCATCTTGTAGGTGCCCAGTGAGTCCAACTGATGTACAACATTTAGACAGCCTCAGTCATAAACTGGAATTATTCTGCCTAGCCTGCTGCTCTCATCAAGCCTCAAACCATGCTACTATTTGGTAGTTTTTCTTGGGTTTTTTTTAAAAAAAAAACTTTGGGGGGGTTGTATTTTTTTCTACATTGAAACAAGAACACAGAAGAACAGCAGTGACCTATCTTCAAATAAAAATATTTCCCAAGGACCACGTTCCCTGGAGCATAATTTGTAGGGAGCTGGGAAGTCGATGGTGGGTGGAACCTAAGCAAAGATTGAGCTGGGTCTAGAGCCAAACGTTGATAAGAATAACAGATTTGGTCAGTTTTGGGAGCTTGGGGGTGTCCACACTGGGAGAGTCAAATTTAGCAAAACGGTGGACAGAATGTCACAATGCAAGCCCCGCCCCTTCCAATGTCCACATTCAAAAGGGGAGGGGCTTGCACTGCCTAGTTCTGTCCACCGTCTTGCTGATTTTGACCCTCCCAATGTGGACACCCTTGCTCTTCCCTCTCTTCCCTTTTTTGACCCTTTCTTTGGTGTGTCACTCATCATTCTCTTCATCCCACTTCTCCCCAGCCATCTAAAAGGAATTCTTCTTAGGCAGACACACTAAACATTTTAGTTATTGAATTTAAGAACATTGGCATAATCCGGATGAATTATATCTAAGACCATCCAGCCAAGTTTTCTCTTTCTTATAGCGGCCAGCCAGATCTCTTTGCATTGCTTACAAGGAGGATTCAAAAGCAATTGAACCTCCTCTGTTGCTTATGCCTGGTTCTCAAAGGTAGACTGTCTCTGAACACGAGTATTCTCTCCCAAATAGCCATGGAGAATTAAACTGAGCTCTGCACAATTATACCCCCGGTTTAGCTCTTTGAGCATCCTGATATTTATCCTTATAAACCAGAGACTTCCTAGAAGTCACTTAACAGGTCAACAGATGATATGAGCTTACCTGATTGTCACCCACTGGCAAATAACATTTGGTTAGGACCATGCTCCCTCTGACTCTTGACATCCTACATAAGAATGTGGGGCTTATTCCGAATCTATTCTGTGTCAGGTTGCATATCTCCAATTATTATTCTGTCCTATCTTTCTGCAAAGATAGATAGATAGATAGATAGATAGATAGATAGATAGATAGATAGATAGATAGATAGATAGATAGAATCAAGAAAATCAGGTCACCTTTTTCTATGCAACTTCCCCAGATAAATACATCTTTGTACACAAAGTTTCCTAATATACACTCTGCATGTTGTACAGTTTCCTCAGATCTCTGTGTTTTTACTCATGCATCTATCATGACTCCCTCATGTGGCTTTTTCTTTTGGGGGGGGGGGGTGTGTGGCTACATCTTTCTCAAATGCACATTGTTTTGTACAAAAGTTTTGAGGACA